AGGATGTACTACATAAATTCATAAAAATCGTTGGCATCAATTAAACATTAGAAATAATCAAGGAAATATTAAGTTTTCCTTGATTAATATTTAATTGATTCTGATGATTTTATAAATCAAAATTTCTGAATAATTAAAATTAGAAATTGATTTTTATGACATTTATGCACGAGCGTGGAATCCTTTTAGTATTATTTTATTATGTATACACATACAAAATAATAATACAGAACGTATCATAACATACACTTTTTTCAGCTCCTACCATAAAAACTAAGATAAATTTAATTGAATTAAGAATAATCTCAAAAATCTACTTTACTAATGAGTACTGAGATCATTTCTGATCGATCAGATTGATCAATTTATCTCTTGCTTGTTTCTGGAACCACCAGTGGTGAGTGTATAAAACAACTGAACTCTGGTTGCGAGAAGGTTGCGGGTTCGCCCCTTACCAACGAAGTTTCAAAAGGGGCAAACCCGCGACGGTACTGTACGGTTTACTGAATTTTTTTACGTTTGTAACATCTAATTAGGTGCTAGTTTCTCATAGTGAATTTCCTGTGAGGCACCCCCCTTTGGCACATCACCCATGTGTTGAGTTGTCGAATTCCATTAAACTAAGCCAAATCGCGCTTACTTTTATTTATAAGGATATAAAACTAATTTGCACCATTTTTAAAATGAATTAAAACTAATTAGAATTAAAATCTTCCGGAATTAACTTGCAGAAAAAAATAAATTTTTCACTTAGCGTAAAAAATAAAAAAAAATTGTGCAGCGGAATTTTTAAATCTCATCAAAAAATTCATTAATACAATTAAAGACAAGGATTATTTTAAGATCTCATTAAGAAATCCCTTTTCGAATAAGCAATATCCAAGTTAATTGATCTATTTTTTTTTATTATTTTAGAAAGTAAAAAAAGATAAATTAAATAATTAAAAATATTAGAAATTCATTTCCTCGAAATTCAAATGTCCTGGGGATTTGAGATCTAATTCGAGCGAGCTTAAGAATTTCACGTCTCATCGGATAAGTCGGGCCCTAACCCCCTTTCTACCCCCATTGTGGACCTGGTCGAAGCCTTGAAGGGCCTGGAAAAACTAATTTTTTAGGGGTCCACATGGCGGAGAGAGCCCCAAAATAATAATAAAAAAAATCATCCAAAACTGAGAAATATGAAAGAGGATTTTTTTTCAAGTTGCTGTTTAAAAGTTTATTTAATTTTTTTTTTATTTTTCCTGATAGTTCTTGCATTAAATTATATAAGACAGCATTTATTTTGAATAGAGATGATGATCTCTGATTGAATCTTGTGGAATGTTCCTTCGATTTTGAATGTTTGCCTTCAGGTTTTTTATGAATGAAAAAGAATGGAATGAATTTTTTCGATTGTGTGAAAACGTTAAAGGCCCTGAGGCCTTTCATATTCTTATTTTTCTTTTATATAAACTTTATATATAAATATTTTTTGGTTCGTACATTAATTTTAATTTGATTTTTTTTCTGTACTTTTATTGGAATGCTGATTGCTTTTCTTCCTTTTCTGTGTTTTCCAGGAATTTCTAATTCCATTTGAATTATTACAGAATAATGAACTAATAAACGCGTATAGACACTGTACAAATATTAATTGGTCTCTATGTAAAGAACCAATAAGTGACAAATCAATAAATGCTAATATTGATTAATTTAGAATTTAAATTGTTGAATAAATTTGAATTTTATATAAACAATTTTTAAAATCATAATTAATTAAAAAATTATAGTAGATAAATTTTGTTTCAAGTTAATATTTATAGAATTTTACATTAATAAATATTTAATTTTTTATTCGTTTTGTAGGATTCCGCTGTTGGAACTCCCGTGACTTTAAAAGTCGATCCTAGAGGATATTTTTTGTTTTGGACAGATCAAAATAAAGTGAGTAGCATCAAACTATCTTTAAGAATTACATAAGCTTTAATGTATATACCTTGTTTAACCTTTAAAATCTCTCTTACATAATTATATATATATATGTATCAAGCAATAAAAATGCGAGAAAATCTAAAGTGTGGCAATCTGTTTATTACCTTTTTCAATAAGCGATAACCTACTCGTCCTTCTCGCTAATAGATATATTGATTAATTAGGATACTCTTTAAATTACAAATATTTACTCTTGATTTTATACAAGGAAGATTCCACTGCACAGATATAGGCAGTTGGGAACGAAATTCACATTTCCAGTAATTGCATTTCTTCATTTTTAACTACTTCACACCATAAGAACCATTTACCTCTTTAAAGATAAGTTCAACGACCTTTTCCTCTTCATTGTTTTCAAAATATTTAAGTATTTTTATTGAGAGAAAGAAGGGAGAAGAAAAATCCCTTTCTCTTCACGATACAAAAGAAGAGGAGCGTGAATATCTTCACTCCCATTTAAGAATTTTTCACAATCAGCAATTTTCGTTGTCGTCGCTTCAGGTGATGAGTCTGAAACGTAATTATCCCACTTTACACGTGCCCTATTCCTAAAATAGGCAAGTGAAGAAGGTAGAATGGTCTTGTAAGCCATTTATATATCTAGGAAAACCAAGCTAACAATCGATTTTTCTCTTTCTCTCTTGCATAAAATTTACTCAACTCACTGATTACACTCCTTTCTGTATAGTTTCTCCCTTAACAGCTGAATCTATCTGTCAAATAAACACGTTCTGTTGCGATTTGCTAATGGATTTTGGACTTGTTGCAACCGTTGAGAGATCTTTCACAAGATTTAATCTTTAACTGGAATGGAATTTCAATATTTCTTTTTTGATCTTTTGACAGGAATATTAATTTCTAGTTGTTGCTTAGTTACTATTATTAAATATTTAAGTTTTAATTGCTGTTATATACTTATAAATTTATAACATAATTTTACTTGAGGCGTGTTAATGTCTCGTTTTTATTAATCAACCTATTGGAATTCCAAAGTAACTTCTTGAATTCTTGGTTAATCTCTTGATAAGATTTCTGGTAAGTAAGAGAATATAAAGGGATTAAACATTATCAGCTTTATAAATTTTGCTTTGGAAAATTATCTAATCTTAATAATTACTTTTCCAAATTTAAATACAGATTTTTTTAATCTACGTAATTACACTGCACGTAAGTACAGTATAATACGGTACAATGTACTATACTAGACTGTAAGTAAGTACCGAGTTGTACTGTACAACTATGTATATTATATTGTGCTTATATAGGTACAAAAGCAATTATTGAATAAGAGATTTTAAAGCAGTACTCTATTTAGACTTATCCTTAAGTTATATAAGGCTCACAATCTACGAAACAGGGCCTCACGTTTTAAAACTTACTGAAGTTAGGGCCTCGTTCCACAGAGGATGCAAATTGTAGCTTTGTAAGATCGTCTAAATTTGACATATTGTTGTACAGTATATCCAGCGTATGTAGTACTGATGCAGGGTGATCGTATTTAAAGTAACCCCTTTTAACGCTGTCTACAGATATATTTACAGTCCAAAAGCTATAGAATCTGAAACATTTTAGGACACGTGGAAAATATTTGCCTAGAAATAATACCAACATAAGCCACTATGGCATTTTAGGCGCTTTCACACTACATTCAGCTGTTGAACATACTTTACCTTCAGATTTTACACCTTCATAATGGAGACTATGTTGAGTAGTATCGGATGGATCGGTTGATAGGATTAAAGCAACACAAGACATGGATGATCTACGAAGGAGTATCTCGCGGGAGGACTTTCTGTGAGAAACGTGTCCCTATTATGAAGAAAACCTGAAAACTTGGCCAACCTGTTGGTGAGGCGCGAACCTGTAACCGAATACCAATGTTCAGTGACTTTATCCATTCATCCACTGATGGCGACCATCAGTAGATGAATGAATTTTTTCGAGAATTTTAGTGTTAGATACTAAAAACCCGAAAAATGAGGCATGCTTTTCATAGAAAGTCCTGGGAGGCACCCCTTTGGCAGATTGCCCATGTGTTGCATTGCTGTATCCCATCAAACGAAGCCATTGGTGGGTCTTTCAGCAGTATCCTCTGCATGGCCAGGTTGTTTATATAGCACGAATATTCTGTAAAAAATATTTGCGTGCAGCGCCAAAAGTGTTATAGTGACAAGTTGTGGCAGTATTTATTTTCATGGAAATGTCTTCATGTCCTGAAATATCATTAAATCAAATCTGATTACATTTAGATTGCTAAAGATCTCTTATACAGCGTTAAAAATTGTTACTTTAATTACGATTATCTTGTATTTGTCTGTTATTCGATAGTTATATTCTACAACAAAATAAATAAACCTACAAGTAATTTTCTGTTTTGAAGTTGCTTTATAAAAAAATTTTGAGTCGTATTAGACGAAAATATATCTACGAGCACTAGATTTATCTTCCTATATGATTAATTGGGTAAGATGATAGCCACTGTTCGTTGTTCCCAACTTATCTTCTGTACAGGTTGTAGTGACTTTTCTATAATTTAACAAGATTTATTGCATTATCTTTTATTACATGTTCAGTTCTACTATTTCACAAGTTTTTAATGGATTATCTCTGTTTCTTCAGTAACATTTAATTTTTCATCACAAAAATAACTTTATTTCAAGTATCCTTCCATTGTAAATTTAGTTATTTTGTTGTAATCGGTTTTTTTCTTGTAATTCTTCAGACACTTCAATATTTACCTTCTTAATGTTAAACAATTTATATAAAGTAATATATTTTACATGATTCGAAGTCAATTCACATTCGTTCACTGTATTTGAATTCATTGTGACGAGAAGAATCGAAAGTAACGCCATTTTGTTTCCTTGAAATGAAAGCGAAATGTTTAAAAATGTACGATATAACGCAACGATTACTAAATTGCGTGTAATTTAATTTAAATGCATTCAATTTACTACCCCTGCTACATAAAGAATTAAAGGCTCCCTATTTTATTTATGGCTTTTTCCGCGTTTTAAACACTAAGAGGGCATTTTCTTCCATATCTATCGTGACTTCAATTAGGTCCATAATGGGCTGGATGATACCCAGGATATGAAAAATTATTGGGCAGTTGTTTGCCCGGATTCGATTTCATGTATTCCGAGAGTAGGTTGATGCCTTACTCTTGCTACCTTAGCTATCTTGCCGACAATTAGAGGCCCTAAACAAAAACTTTTATGGCTTCCTCGTGCAAACAAAATATACTGTATACTTATCTCTACTTTTGTCTTGGTCTAGCACGAAATCCAATAGTAGTTATGATTCTGGATCTTGCACAATATCATCGTGTGACATGGGTGTCATTGTATGAATTTACATGACGCTTCCAAGACCCTTGCGTAATCTAAAATTGCTAATATTTTTTTATATTATATCACTTTTTCATATACAGTATTGATTATTTAAAAAAATTTTATACATGATTTACAGATGGTCGAGGTAGTTAAGGCGTCAGAATACTTCTTTGAAGGACCTGGATTCAAATCTGGGCAAGCACAGGAATTTTTAATGGGCAAACTACCCCAGATATAATGGGCCTACTCTATCGCCTCCATTGTGAGCCTGGCCGAAAAAATGCTCTTTTAGTGTGTTTAACAAAATAATAAACTCGATTATTCGAAATGGTTTTCAAAAGAAAGAAAAAAAAAAAAAAAAATAGAACATTTAAACCTTGTACTGTACGTTTCACCGAGTATAATACACAGAGACTTATCTATCCACGTAACTGTAAATCACTACGTCATAATGTCGATTATAGCGCCGCGAAAATAGATCATATAAGTAACGTTACGTCAGATTTTGAGTAAATTAATTTGTTTAAATGCATTGCATTACAGTATTATTCGCGAGACTTTAAATACACTGTGCTTAATGTATCCAAAACACAAAAACAAAGGATTTTCTGGATTATCTGAAAGACGCCAGATCCCATCAAGTTCGGATAATCGAGTTTCTACTGCAATAGTATTTACAAGAAGCAATGTATTAGAGGAACAAAAGAAAAATGTTATATTTCTAGATAGAGCCTGTTATCAAAAATAAATATTTTCTTGAAAAGTTTATCTATTTATCTCAACCTATTTCCCGTATCAATTCTCTTCATACTCCGCCATTCTCCATTAAGATCATTAGTGTCTTATTGCACTCCTTAACACTAAAGTCATCATCACTCAACTGAACTTTTCCGGCAGGCTGCAATAGCAGCGGCATTTGTCTGTTGTTAGAAAACATCGGAAACGTATGACGTGATATCCTCCTTGATTATTTCATAAGCTTCATAATTTCGTTTAAAGATAATGAAATGAAAGCGTACGAAACTCTATTCTTTCTTTCTTGTCTTACACGAAAATCATCAGAAAATTCAAATTAATAGAAACAAGATGGTTGGAAGTCGATAGTACATTTTTCCCTGTATGTGTAATCAGAATTTAGCTGTTGTAATAAAGACGCGAGGTTAATTAAATGCATTGCCATGTCGTGAGGAGTGATTAACTGAAATTGTTTATTAATCCTTCACACTAATGGAATTGAATCGTTGATGATATTCTCTTCCTTTTCTGTCTGTCTTTTGTCATTTATTAAAACTTTGTGCTTTTGATTAAAATTTCGATATATTTTAATGTTCTTTCTGGTAAATATAACACTTATTTGTTTTATTATTATTATTTTTATTTAAAAAAAAAAAAGTAAAACGTCTGTATCTGTTGGTCTTGCCACCTTCGGAAGCGTTACGCAAACCGCATATTATTTGCGAACGATATTAAAACAATATTTTTGGAATTTACTCAAATTTTATGATGATTTTGTATTTAAATTAATTAAATAAAGTAATAAAATATGAGTTATTAATCGAACGATGCGTGTCATTTGTTATTAATATTGTTGCGTCAATGAACAAAGATGGCGACGAA